CTCTGGGATAAAGGTTTGTAAAAATAAAGAACACTTTCTTCCCTCCCGGTGGAGGAATCCTTGTATAAGCAGAAGAAGGCCAAAGGCAGGTGATTTATTTAAGCGGATGATAATGATGTCATGCAAGCATTTCAGCACACTGCGTCCACCCTATTGTGGGACGAAGGAATGTCAAGGACAATGGCTAGCACAAAACTTTGATTGTGCTTGAACCGGAAAAGCACAGTCAGAACTTCACAGCCCCTTCTTCAGTTCAAACCCCTGCATCCTGCAGACCAAGCGGAGAAAGTATGGCAGAGTAAGCAGAGGGGAAGGGGGGGTTTATCTCATACAGCAACTATGCGCAGAGGTGCCCTGTGAGACAGACAGGCACCATGGATAAAACACCACAAAACAAACCAGAAAAAACCCTATAAATCATTACCAGTCGTTAGAAGCAGACAGGTAAAAGCAAAGTATCTCTCCTAGCTTTGCAGAATAGTAAAATAAAATTATGGATAGAGAGGACAGGGGAGCTGTCAGACAGACTGGATGGCGCAACCGACTCCTGGGTTAACCCTTCGCAGCCAGGGATGCCCACCAACACTGCTGATCTCTGGTGTGCTTATGTTTAAAGCTGAGCTCTAGGCTAACAGCTAAATACACAGATGAAATATGAAAAAGTAAACTGTAAGGTATGGTGACACCCTTAGTGTGTGAACTTAGTTTTAGATAGAGAATAGAGCTGTTTCAACACCGTTCCCGTACCTTCCTGGTTGGGCTTATTGGGCAACGAATGAGCATTACAGGAGGTTGATATAAAGACAAATTTAGATACTTCTGATTGACTCCAAGCAGAGGCATCACAAGGGGGGTGCAGGGGGTGTGGCCCGCACCGGGTGACACCATCAGAGGGGGTGACACCAAAATGACTGGTCCATGACAAGAGCTGTCGGGCTCTTGGTGTGGACCAAGAGCCCGACAGCTGCACAAGAGAGAGAGGGAACACATCAGCATTAAATGCCCATGACGTTATTACCCGTGTCCCTTATGATGTCACATCCGTGTATGATGATGCCCCAGCGTGTGACACCCGGCAGCTGCACCAGGTGACAGCTGGCCTGGGGATGACTCTGACACCAAGCAGTTCCTGCTGTGTTTCTCCAATTCTGCTGTGCAGGGATTACAGGAGGCTGATATAAAGACAGATTCAGGTACTAATACTGGTTGCGTGTAAAAATATGTGAAATTATTTTTACAGGAGTATAAAACTCCTTTATATATGATATATAATATGTAT